GCATTATTTCCGTAATTATGCTTTTTTGCGTGATAAAGTTTATATTCGATACAATTATTCATGAGTACGCGCTCTACCCGCTTTTTGAATGGTCTATTAAAATAATAGGTGCAGTGGGAAATTTACTGACTAATTTACTTGTCCATCTAGCTCGGACTCCTACGGAAGAACGGGGAACGAGATAAGAATCAAAACAATATGGAGCAGGGATCAGTGGCCAACAGGAACAACTCAATTCCCCTCCAAATTATCCAACTTCTTCGAGCTCCCCGGACACACCATCACTAAAAATGAAAGTTATTAAGTGTACCTTTAAACCGAACACGCAACATATAGTAAACCGCTTTGTGGATACTAAACTCTATCCCGTATTACAAGACCCTTGCATTCCATTAATTCCATCGCAGAAAAAACGCGCTTGCACAGATACGGAAGAGTAAAGATTAATGTGAAATTAAATTTTTTTGCAATAATGTAACAAGCGTATACATGTCGACAAATAATTATATTCAGTTCATTGCTTGATCATATTTCATTATAAATAATATAGAAAAAATTGAATTTTTGAAGGATTTATTTTGCATAAAGATGAAATTAATAAGTATATCTCAAACGAGTAACAAATCAACTTATAAATTTGGAAAAAGAGCAATAAGCTTATTAAAATTATATAAGGCTATAGGGCTTAGTTTTAGCTCAGTTACAATTAGACAAAGTAACAGATACTATGGAAGAGAGAGAACAGTTAGCAACAATGTGTTTTGTAGAATACCTGAGCAAAGACCTAAAGCGATATATTTGTCAATACGAATTTTATAGTTCATTACATCAGGCGATTATGCACGCTGAACAGATTAGCAATAATCTAAGAAAATTAGAAAAGTTGGTAAACATAACATATTGAACAATTAATCCATTAAGATAAATTTTCAGCCCTTTGCTTCTTTTTCTTTAAAATATTTTTGTTCCATGTAATAAAAAGGCTATAAATATGTAATGTGTGTGTCGTGTTATATCAATATTTATCGATCCTTTTAATCGTTACACAAAGAAAAGAAATTTACACGTCATTCATTATAAACAAAATGTGTTAGATCCATTATGTAAAATTTGTAGAACAGTATTGCTTACTTACGAAAATTGTAATAAGTGTGAAAAATGTTTCGGAGCAATACATGATCTAAGTTAAGCCGTGATTAACGACGGTGTAGTTGATCTTAGTGGTCCTATAGTCTTACAATAATGGTATAAGTTATTAAATAATAATTGTAATTTGTATCGTATTACAGTTTTCATTACAATCAAAATACCGTTCAAGATGAAAAAAACTGTAATTTGCTTGTTTTCTTATCGGATTTACGGCAGTCAGAGGATGAGAAGAAACCTCCGTTGTACATCTGATCGAAGACAATCCAGATATTGCCTTTCATAAAATTGAACGTATAGCTTTTACTCGGAAAAATTGGAGTTTACTAACAATCGTTGACCTGCAGCACATATTTACTTGGAACAAAGTGCTTTCAAATGAAATGACTAGTCTAAATAATATTGTATTACAAAATAACATTTCTTATGTAGAAGCAAGTTCGATAATCTAGCATGTTAAAGAACAAATGAAAGATATTCAACGCGTAGACGATTTCCTGAATCGTCTTGTTAACATGTTGCATGTTAACAAAATTAAGGAGAGAGGAAAAGCTTTATCATTTCAAAATAGTTACGCATTAAGTAACAGTAAAAAGTTATAGAAAGAGTAATTAACATGCGTATAATCGATCTATCTTATATAATAGATGAAAACCCGAAAACTTATTTCTATGACAATGGTTTAGAAAAACAAATTAAATCAGTAAACTTAAAAACCGACTACCTGCAATTACTAGAACAGAATTCGAACGTAACAGACAAAAACTTTGCTGCTAATTTTCACAAAGCAATTTTACTTATTAAAGAAATACAGCATGAAGAGAAAGAAATCATGTTTTTAATAGTGGAAATGTTTAGATATAATAAATACTTATTGGCTATGCAGACGGTACAAGCAGTAGTGTATGAAATTGAAAAGACATCATTTCTAAAGTCCATAGTTAAACCAAGTAGTATTAATACAGCAAATATCGCCGACATAGCACAACTACATTTTATGATGTATGAAAAGGTGTCAATAGCCGAAATAGTGCTATCCTTCATAGATGCGGAACAGTTTATTGTATAGAAAAATATATCTTTCCCCGTACTCCAACAATCTAAGACAAATAAGTCAATCACTGCATATATTGAACCACAGAATGATTACATTGTAGTGTCAGAAAGTAATAGCTCGCATTTCTTTATGAGCAGAATGGCGTTTGAATCATGTAATATAGTAAAGTATTATAAAATATTTAGCTTTGAGTTAATAGAAAATATTAAAACATCTTACAAGTTTAATATCCTAATAAAACCAAAAATCAAAACATTATACGAAAATTATTTTTTAATCAAAACTGCTATCAGATATCTCTAGTTATTTTCCACGCGAGAATATGATTCATTAAAAATTAAATGCACAAACAAATTAGTATCAATTCTAAAACTTTCTTCTGGCGTAATTGAACTCCTAAGATCATGCAACTTATGGGCCGACGGAAAAATTTATAGAGGCGCGGCAGGTAATCAAGTAATAAAAAATCTAGTTATTCCACCGATTCGACTAATTCTTTTAAAAGCTGATCAATTGTTAGCGAGTACGGCTAAGGACGACATAAAGCTAATCAGTAATTCGGCAACAAAGGTGGAAATAAAAATAATTGACATATCACTTAGGAACTTTATGTGTATCGGTGTTGCAAGTATATGTTTAATCACGAGCTCTCTAATTGTATTGGTAGTATATCGTTATTTCAGCAAAAGGCAAAAAAGAAAAGAGCACTGCGGTAAGTGAAGCATTCATACTAATGTCAAGATTAGATACCGGATTTTGATACAATTTTTCAAGGCTACCGTTTTATGAAATACCTCAAACGCCCGCTAAGAGAGTCCATGTTTACGAAAATATGTTACCACATCATTTAGAAACAGCCAATAAAGTAGAAGTGGCAGTAAATTCAACAGGACAATTATGTGTTGAAAACTTTGAGCCGACAATTAGCGCAAAATAAGCACTAATCATAGTTAAATAAGCATGTTTGTCGTTACAAAAGTATATAAATATATCTTAAAGGAGTCGACTGATTAGTAACATTCTTTGTCATAGTATTGACGATTAGCACTTGATGTAAGCTTGATAATTAACTTGAAATTATTAAATTTTTTTTTAATTAACGTGGGGAAATTTTTAATGCTGCAGACTATAGCACAGGGAACGTCGCTTGCAGTACTAGGCCAGGTGTGTGTAAAAGTTTTCCTTGTGTGATTAGAGTAGGTAGTTGATTGTAAAATGTTAATTATCTAGGGATATAAAAACAAAAAAATGGAGTAGGGAATTAGAAAATATAAGTGCGACAAGAAAAAGAGAAAAAAAAATTCGTTAGTCTAGACGAAACAGTAAAGCAAGTGATTTGAAATAGTTTAGTGAAAGAAGGTATTGCTACGGTTTCATCTTTAACAAAGAAGGGGTTGTGTAACTACATGCAAGCGTGGGAATATCGGTGAAGAGCTGATCCAGTGTAGATCAACATTGTGTGGAGAGGAGATTTTCTACCCTTCGAGAAGTAGAGATTATTGAAGAACGTGATGAGTAATATATGCTAGGTTTTTTTCTAACGATTGTGCAAATTGTAATAAAAAAATAAATAAATAAATATGTATGCGTATTAGTCTTAATCTTGAGTTGGTATATGTGTAGTAAATTACTGTATGTGAATTATAAGTGTGTATCAGGTAATTATTAAAGGTATGTTAGTAGGTTACTTTTATATTATTGTATCGGAGGACGTTTCAAATAAAATTTATGACAAATTGTATGACGAGTAATAGTGTGTGCAACTTGCGAGCACCCTGCGTCGTTATTTAAATACACTTGAAAATTGGTAATTAAGTATATCCTTTATCATATTACATATTAATTGTATTAATTTCTTGTTCGTGGTATTTCAAATATTTGAAATCTCTAATTTTAGATAATTTTGAGGAATAGTTTAAAGAAATATACTTAGCGAACGTTGGCTTATCAAGCTTAATATTGACTTACGATACTCATGAAGTGGGCACTGTTCTTTGCCTATACAAAATGTAAAATCTATTAATAAAGAAATGAATTTAAAAATTATTTCAAAAGAAGCTACGGGTAAAATACAACCATTGGATGCATTTAGTTTTTAGGTAGCCTGATAAAAAAATAAATCTTCATTTGAGAAATTATATTATTTAACTTCAATGTTTTTGTATGGTATAAATGGCTATATGGACGTATATCTTGAAAAATTTAATAATCCAGGAAATTTGAAGTTCAAATTACAATTTAATATTCATTTATCTAACATAGGTTGATCGAAATAGATCAATAATAAACTAGTAAATCATTTGTTGATAGAGAAGTAATAGTTTTTAATATATTTTTAAGGAATTAACTTGGTGACACGGCCTTACATTTTAAAAATACTTTAATGATGATATGAAAATGCGGCTACATTTTTTTTATTAACATATACACAATCTATGGTTAAAAAGTTATGTATTTCAAATTCCATTGATAATGTAAGCCATTCACAAAATATTCAATTTGAAGAAAAAATATTTTCCAAGAAAAAGTATCAGTTTTGAAATTTACAGGTAATCAAAGGTCATAAGTGATATCGAGTGTTGACAAAGCTGTTTTTTATCGTAACTTAGTAACTTTATTACAGAATAAAAATTCTGAAGAACATTAAATCATCTCTAATGAACAATACTAGCAATATCTGACTAAAAATTTCATTCATAAATAAAATGAATAATATTGACAGAAAAGGTTGAAAATTATTATCAATAATAATAAAGTAATAATAAATAATAAACTTATATTTTTAAACCATGTTTACCTTCAACGACAACAACTGCTTGAAATCCTTGTTTAAACGTTTCATTCAATGCCCATCCATAATGTCGAGCTATTTTGAAATATCCTTTAAATTTTTTTTCCTTTATTGGAACTTCAATATCAGTCTGATCTGGTAACTGAAATAAAAATAATAAATATAATATTCATATATATATATATATGTGTGTGCGTGTGTGTATGTTATAACGGGTTTTATAATTCCTTCACCGTTACAATCGAGAGAAATATTTGGTTGACTGCTCGACAAAAATTATCAGTTGAACACCATAAGGCAAGTGCAATGTCACGTGTGTGACCAAGCCTCATAACTCGCACTTATAATATATTCGCCTTGTGGCCCGCGTAGAGCGTCGTGGATTGGCATAGCTGAAAGCGCGAAATATATATACACGAGCGTAGTTGAACCGCTGGGAAATAGGAAAAGATTCAGACAATTGAGAAAGACGCAACAAATGCAAATAACATCGGATTTATACAAAAGAAAATATTCAGAGGGTACAAGGCATCATACATAAATAGCGCAGCAAAAACAGAGAAGGTGGATAAACAGAGAGAGAGAGAGCCTAATCACGAGATGGTACTTTCATTCTCGTCGGGTATGCCCTTTATAAATATCGATGCCCTAGTATCTACACCAAATCTCCTCGCTGGCTTTCTTGACAGGTTTCTTGGCTAAGTCCGTACAAGGCACTGCCGTACAATAAAAAAAAAGGCTAAAGTTATCCGCGCGAGGAGAGACACGTGTTGTCGGCCTCAGGTCCATCAGCTAATTGCCGCTCATGGTGTCCCTTCTTTCCCTTAGTCTTACAAGTCGCGCGCGTCCTGATCTATCGAAACGCTCTCTATGCGACGTATGTTAGGGCATTTCGATCTCTCTCTTTTTCTCTAACGCGACTCTCACCTTTCAGCTGCGTCGGCTGCTGCTATATATATTAAGTATAATATAGTATAATATAGTATAATATAGTATAATATATATATATATATATATTGTAACGGGGGGGATATCTTGCAAAAATGGGAAATTTATTTATAAGCAAACTCCCACGATGCAGAGCAAATCGCCGCTCCGTTAATCACGTATGTAAGTACGTGTATTCGCTTTAACGTCAGATGATTTCTCTTTGTTGTCTTCTATCAAACGGAATTGAACTCACCTTAAGTCACATGTATCGTGACACTCGATGAGTTTGAAGTGTGAGCGACTTTACTCCTTCTCCGCTTAATCCCCTAGGCGTAATAGGATTAACACCTAAGCCTATTTCAATTTCTTAAACTATTAGGAAAATCATATGACGAAATCGGCGAATAAGTTAACAAAGTTTATTCATAAAAAATCTATACAGTCTTTGTCGGGCCGAAAGACTGACGCACGCGAATAGGATTTACAATTAAATAATTTTCCGGTGAGAAAGAGAGAGAGAGAAGATTCGAATATTGGCGCGATCTAACGCTCGGCGCGAATACAAAATTATCAACGCTAACGCGGCTGAGCAAAATAATAAATATATTTTGACACGCGATAATAAAGGGAGGTGCACCTACCCTGCGGTGCAATTACGGTGATCAGCCGTAATTGTTGATGTCAGCAAAATATCAACTGCCTCCGGTCCCAGGTTATCAACTGTGCTGCCTCGTACCACCTATCAGCTGCAAATCTGCTGCTACCAAAACGCTGCAATCTGTAGGTCTCGTTGTTGCACTCACGCGCGTAATTATTATGGACCAGTAATTATTAGTCGGCGAGAAAAAAACAGTGCAAATAACTTCGGCGATATCTACTTGTCACAACAGCTGAGACGTAACTGCTAATTTGAAAGATCGCGCGCCCCCTCTCTCTCTCAATACTTAGAACTAACGCGCGAAATTCAGAATCGCGAACGGTGCGATTAATTGAATCGACTACCGTTGCAATATATATATATATATATATTAATACATAAGGGGGGGAGACATAACGAATGAAATTTAAATTCGTTATAGTGTATATATGTATACATATGTATAATTTTCGTGATTGCATTGAAAGAGAAAAGAAAAACTCGGTGAACGATCCACCGAGCCACATATGCTCACTATGATAAGAAAAGTACCCTAAGTGTATGTTGTCGATTTGGATGATATTGCAATATGCTATATTACACTGAAAAATAAGACATATATATTTTTTATACGGGCTCATATGCAATCTTAGGGGGTGAAATTCATTCCAAAATTTAACCACCAAAAACGGTTTTCTTCAAATATTTCAGAAATAAATAAAGATAGCTCAGTAAAACCAACGCTAAAAGTTAAAGAATAAAAAAAGATTAAAAAAAGCATTCATTTCAATTGTAAGAGTAGCCACCTTTACTTTTAAAAAAGAAAATTAAGTTTTTTTATTAATAGTATTTTTATTCAGGTATACAAAATAAGCAGTTTAGATTATCGCAAGGATACTTACAACATATTTTGAAAGTTTTTGATATACTGAATCCAAATCCAACCTTAGAATTTCTCTACGACATCAGGTTTCTGAGATATCATAATCTAAAAATGAAAAAAAGCACTTTTTTTTGTCATGTTTGAGTATATATTATATCGTAAATTAATTTTTTTTTCTTAAAAACGAAATGTTATTTGAATGTATCACTGTGATAATTTTAAATACTTTTTTAATTTTTCAAAAATCTGTATTTTCTTCAGATGTTAATTAAAATTTAATAATTTTTTGTTTTCGTCACAGTATAATAACAAATAAGATTTTTTCAAAAAGCGGATAACGTAACCTGTTATGTTTTTTAGTTGTCTTAATTATTCCACGAAAGAATACTACCATAAACTAAACTTTTCAAGATTTCCGAACCTAAAATTGTGTAAAACACTCTCTTTTGGTTATTTAAAAGTTATACTTTATAAACACCAACATAAGTATCAATACACGCTGTTACCTACGAGAGCTAAACTTACGACACGTCAACATAACCTACTACCGTTCACTACAACCTACAAACGTTAAACCGAGACCAGTCAAGTTAGGTACGCTGTAACCTACAAACGTTAAATTCAAGATAGATAAGCCTAGATGCGTTGTATTCAACAAGAGCTAATCCTTCAACAGGTAACCTAAGCGTGCTATAACTTATGAAATCTTAACTCAAACAATGTTTGAGTTAAGAGTTTAATGTTTTCTACAAGCGACTTGATCGTAGAAATTTAATTTTATATAATTTAATGGATCAACAATCCATTCCACTTATGCTCCCGCAAAACTGATACATTCTCTTCTTTGTTTTATGACTTTTAGTCGTCATATATCGTAAGATATCATAAGTGCTTAAAATTTTGTAGACAACAGCCTTCTTATATTCAGATCTAACCTTCACTCTTTCATTTAAGATACATGAAATCTGAAGTTTTACTTTTATTTTAACTTGAGATGAACTTCTGCACTTTCTACCAACAGTCTTTCACAGGACACTTCATGGTTTCATCATCAACTGTCATTTATTACCTAAACCTAAAGAAAAAGAGATGCTGATTGGTCGCACATCACTGAAGAGTTTGATTGGTATCTAATCTTCGACTTTGAAAGAGCTATAAAACAAGTACAACTCTCTTTTAGTTAATAATCAAGCTCTTCAAGAGAAGCTGAAGTATTTCTTTAACATACACTGGTGGTAATCAGAGTGCTTGCATGGATGCAGTTCCATGCAGTGGTTATAAAATATATACATGACGCTTCGTCACCAGGAAGAATTGAGTACCCTTCATGTAGGAGATTAAAGTGTTAATAACACATCTGCGCCTGAAACCGATCACTTTGGTGCCTTTCTGGGTAATGACGAGCACTTTTATCCTCAGACGAATGTCAAAAGTAGGGATCCAAATCTGGATGTCAGTGCTAAAGAGTATTACGAAGATACAATGAACCCTTAGCTGACATACTTCTGACGTTCAGTTTAACTACCATACTAGGATATTTTTGACCCTAGTCACATATTCATCTATTTTAAATAAATTAATTTGTTTTTTGCAAGAAAAAAATTGTGTTTAATTTTTAAATCTTATTGTATAAGATACGGTTTACAAAAATTTTTCAACTTAACATATTAAATAAAAAAATTATATTATAAATGGGGATCACGGCCCTACGGCTCTAATGCCTGAATCTACCGCTTTTGTGCCACGTTCAAAGATCCTTATTAATTATTTTCTGTCTCATGAAATTTTATTAATTCGGTTTAAAATTGCATAAATTCATTACAAAGAAGTTTGGCTTCAGATATATGTAGCATAGCAGCGAAAGATTTATGGTGAAGCACTCTACCAGTAAGCGTGCACACGACTTTTCGTTGACTGCTGATCTATTAGCCATCAAATCAGCATATCTTTCTCCGTTGAATAAACATTTACTTGGCAAAACAGTTTACTATAAATACCAATTTACTCGAACACTGTCATTGCGACTGAAAAACAGGGGTAGAAATCAATATTAACTCTTTTAAGGCCTCGCATTGATGGACTTTGATTGTTTTCGATTGATAACTTCTTCTATCATATTTTTAGAATAATGAAATCGTGTTTGGATCGTATACTACGCAGCTTAGTTCTAATAAAGATTTTCTCTGTATTTAGGAATGGTCGTAATGTGAACGATGGTGTGACGCGGACACTTTTCCTTTTATAAGAATTTTTATGTATCCCTAAGCTTTGAGATTTTATTTATAAGACTAACTAATTTAAAAGGCAATTAAATAATAAGTTGAGAGCCTCTTTCGAAAAAAAATATAAAATAGGAAACGAGATGAGAACCGTATATTCGAAAACTTTCCAGTATCTGAGTTAAAAAGAGAAGCCAGAGGTCACTAGGAAATCCTATATGAAAAAAACTTGAGCCGATATGCCTACACATATGGTCGCTCCTGGTACAAGTCGTAAAATTGCGAACCGCATCCTGTCGCTACATATTTCCTTCACAAACTCGCTTTATAAGGCTTATTTTTTTTTTCTATATACGCTAGAATTTTTCCCAATATTGATATTTTCTTAAATTAACTAGAATTATTCGACTTCTATTAAGCTGCTTCAACATAAGTAACTTCAATAAACTATTTGTTTTTGGATACTTAAAATC